CCCTGCCCAGTGCTGCTTCCTTGTAACAAGCCACTTCCATTCCAACCTGCCCTGTCCTCCTTGGCTTTTCCAGGCTCTCCTGCACAACCCTTTTCCCCTTTTCCTTTCTCAGATCTCTCTCCCACTGGTGTTTTCTCTGAAAGACAAGGAAGCACTTCCTGAGGTGGGGAAGGAGGAGCTGTTCCCAGGGATTAGATACTCCCTGTAGTATCTCACATGTACCAAGGAGCCTTTGGCCATCTCTGATTGCTGATGGGCTTCTCTGTGTCATTCTGTCCTCTTGCTAACTGCCAGGCAGGACTGTGCACTCTGCTGTCTTGGGTAGATAGCAGTGATGATGCTGGACAGTCCAGCCCCTCAGCCCTCAGGGTCACTGTACCCAAAAAAGTGGAGTGTCAGTTCAGAACCATTTGCTGTTCTCCTAAAGTTGAAGGATTGAGGGGAATGAAATGATGGGAGGTTTTATTTGCTGTCTCCTGAATACTAATGATGTAATGAGGAGCCTGAAAGATGTGTATTGAAATGAGAGGGGGAGAGAAAAATACTGCCAAGCTGTGCTTTAGATAAGCTCTAAAAGGTGTTTTTTCTGTCTCTGCTAACAAGCTGTCACGGTGCTTAGAGAGGCTCATGGGTTGTCTACGGTGAGTGCAAGTGTTTGGATTTTATTGTGGTGAATTTGGGTTTGGTTTGTGTTTTGCTGTCACTTAGAAGACAAATCTCTCTGAAGCATTCACGTTTCCTGGGGGACAGAGGCCTGTTTTGTGACCAGCTCATCAGACCAGTTGGCAAAGTGTCCACAGGGCCATTTGAGATGGTGTCAGAGCTCTGTCCAGGCTTCACTGCCAGACTCACCCTTGGTGGGTTTCGAACACTGCATGGTGGCTGTGTCTTGTAAACCTGGAATGAAACTGTCCTTGTGGTGTTAATGCAGTAAAGATTCGGTTCTCTTCTGAAAAACCCTCTGAAACAGTTGTAACTTTCTTCCTTTCAGATCTATCTCTCCCAGACTCCTCTGTGTCCTAACCCTGTGTTTGACCTGATGCTGAAATGCTGGAGCAGGGATATAAAAGATCGTCCCACTTTTGACATGATTCACCACTTCCTGCTAGAGCAAATGGAATCAAACATTTGACTCCAGAAAGAGACAAGCTGTTGAGAACAGAGTGACTTTGGTGTCTCCTTGCCTGTACCTCACAGGAAGATGGTCAGGCCACCTTGCTCTCCTCCCTTGACTGTGCCATATTTAAGTTGAGACGTCCATGGCAGCTGCTCATTCTATTGGCCATGGTCTGACACGCAGGACCAGAGGATCTCATTTGGTTGAAAAATCATCTCCTCTTCTGAATCACTTCCTGGGAATACTGTGAGAGGGGTTTATTAGATACCCATACACCTTTGGGCAAAACGGATGAGTGAAACTTTGAGGGGCTGGAGCTCTCTCCTGGGTGGACTGGGGAGCTACCGGTCTGTGAGAGCGCTACCACTCAAGAACAGATGTCTAGAAGTAAAGACTTCAGTCTTCTAAAACTATTCCATTAAGTCAAATGGAAGTCTTGTGCACATTAGTGAGTGTTTCTCTATGCTCTGGCTGCAGATGAGATGTAGAGAGACTAGAAATGTCTAGAGCTAGGAAATGCTTTAATGGACTTGAGAACTGACGGAGCATTTAGCAACCCTTTGGAAGTAACACTACCAGGGTCTACAGAGGATGCTGATACAAGAGTCCAAGATCATGTTCTTTTTTCCTGTGGTTGTTAAGCACTGCTTTTGTTGTATATGTGCATTTTTTCCCCACACTGGATTTTTTTTTCTAGAAAAAAGAAATTTTAATGAATGTTGGAAGGTCATGGGAAGGTCAGTGCGGTAGAAGATCTTCTTTTGACCTGCAAATTAAGGCTAGGGTAGGGAGTTTGTATTGAAAAGTAGCTGATACTGTACTACTGTCACTATGTAGATTTATTAGCCTAATGAATTTGTAGCCACAATGGACTGATGTGCAATTAATCCTGTATAAATACCCATTAATATGAGATCTCTAAGTCAATGCTGTTACATGTGTAGAGGGAGCTTAGATGCGGTGAAGGCGAATGGCTGAGAGCAGAACCAGTGATGTCACTTGTCACAGCTCACATGAGGGGAAAAGGAGCAGAGTACGGGTCATCCCCAGCACACGAGTGTGCCCACGTGCTCACACCCATGTGTCTAGGGTCAGGGGTTCCTCCTCAGCTCTGCAGCAGGCTGGTGGTGCTGTTGGCCAGGCAGATCCGCTCTGCCCTGGTCCCGCCTGGCGTGGGGAGGTGGCACTGACCCCTCCCCTTCCTGTGGGTTTGTGCTTTATTTTGGATGCTCCCTGCACAACACAAGACCATTCACTCACTGGACTTGGGGTTGTTTTCCTCTTTGTCGTGTCACAAGCGGCTCATTCTCTTGGAGGGCTTTAGAGGGTTCTGAAATTCATTTGGAGTGAGTTGGAGGATTCAGCTCGTTTCTACAATAAATCCATTGTGGATTTACCAGGTGCCTGGGGAATACTTTGCTATTCCCTCTCTAATTGTTTAGCAAGATACTTAGGACCAAACCAAATATTTCCTAAGCTGGGAGAAGATGAAAGCTCAGCACTTGGCTTTTTTTTAAGCAGCATCCAGCATAGCATATATTTCCAGTAAAGATTATCAAGATAATTTTTATCTTAGCCACAAGCGTAAAACGATGGCTCTGTGCTGAGAGCCCTGCTGAGAGGGGAGGTGTCAAAGCAGATCTGGTAGGAGGATGACTTCTGCTGGAAGCAGCAGCATGCTTCTGGCTGGGGAGCAGCCAGGATGGAGCGTGGCACGGCCGTGTCTGCTCCCCGGGCAGAGCCAGCTCCATCCTGAAGTCCCCCAGCTGCAGCTGACAGGACTGTGCCCAGCTTGTCCCCTGCTGACCTGCTGTGGGGTTGTCCTGGCTGCACGTGGCCACCTCTGCTAGGTGTCCTCTGAGCCCACTTCAGGTGCAGAGGAGCCAGATGGTCCAAGTCATCCCACCTCCCTGCGAGGGCTCCGTGGGCTCGGGTGACTCTCAGCCCCAGCTGGGGCAGCTCCTTTCCCCTTTGCCTGGAGGGGCTTGGGGTGAGCTGCCACTACACCCCCAGTGTGCATGGTCTGTCTGGAGCTGGGTGATGGGAGCCAAAGCCAGCGAGGTACCTGCTGCAGCTGAACCACAGGCTGGTTGTGGATCTGGAGGATTTCTGTCCTGTCCTAGAAAACATCCCCAAGTAACACACAGCCGTGAGCGTGGCCTCCTGTGCTGCAGGGTTCAGAGGTACCAGAGCACTGTAAGGGCTCCTGGGTGGGCTTTGTACTTCTGTTAGGTCAGGGGGTGCTGTTCTCCACTGACATGTTGACATAAGACGTTTCTCTCCTATCAATAAATTCTAATGATAACCTTGACAAAAGTGAATTTCTACTTTTTTACCCAGGTGTCTCCTCTGAGGAGCAATATTTTGGTCTGATTGTTCAGTAGCTCTTTGGTAAGTATGTGACCCCCTCCCCAGGTTTGGAAGGAGCAGCTGCTGGCTGTTTAAAGAGAGTGAGCTTTGAAGGGAATTCCTGAAAATGCTGGTGCTGGTCTGAACCCCCTCAGGAGGGACCTGGATGCAGCCTGGGATTGTTGTGCCATGAATAGTGCTGCATTTCCACAAGGAATTTATTTTTCATGTTCATATTAAACTCTGAGGAAGATCTTGGCTGGGAGGGACCTTTTTAGGTCTCTAATCCAATTGTCCACTAAAAGCTGAGCTAACTTCAAAGCTGCGTTGGGATGCTTTGGGTGTTCCCCAGCTGAGTTCCTGAAGCTTTGAAGGTCTCCAAGAATGGGGATGGCACTGTGTGCCAGGGCTGTGGCTCTCCTCTGAGGGGGAATTTCCTCCTTGTCTCCAGTGAGTCTTCCCCTTGTTGCATCTCGTGCCTGTAACCTCTTGCTCTTTTACTGTGCACCTCTGAGAAGAGCCATCATACACCTCACAGACCCCTCCACCCTGCAGACCTGGGGTTGTTGTCCCTGATCAGAGCTCATGTATTTGGGCAAACTCAGATATTTATAAAGGCTGGAAGTTCCAGATGTCCAGAACTGTTTAGTCACCAAGGGCAAGAGTCAAAGCAGCTTATTTATCACCTGAGATACAGTTTTGGGTGGTGCATAGACGCTTGAACAGATGAGAACAACCCTTGAATACTCTCTGCTTTCTGGTTAGTATCTCAAAGTATCTGCCAGCCATGTGGCTGAGCTCCTCAAGGCCACAGAGGGACCTGGGCAGTGAGACAAGGCTGCTGGAAACAGCCCTGGTGCTAACAGGCCTAGGGGTTGTTGCTTGAGGACATGCTGGCCACAGTGGCTGTGCAGTAGACAGGAGACCCATGTGCTGGGCCTGCCTTCAGCTGGAGGGGTGAAACCCACTGCATGGAAGACAACATGACCATAAGAGGTTGGGAACAGGAACAAGCTTTATCCTTCATGAGGCAGGGTGGGGAGGGATTGTATCCTCAACCAGCCAGGCTGGGAGGAGAATGAGGAGCAGGGAAGAGGAGGTTGAGCCTCCCCCAGAGCATGGTGCTTCCCTTGGCCTCTGCCATGGGGTCTCCTCAGCAGAAGGGTGTGCAGGTGGCTGTGGGGACAGTGCTGCTCTGGCCCTGTGGGACCCAGCCAGGCTCTCCAGGTTCTGCACATTGGATGTGAACCATGAACACACATTTGTTCTGGGGCTGCTCCTGGGGAACATCTGGCTCTGCTGTCCCCAGGGCTACGAGCCTTCAGGAAACCTGCCAAGCGCCAGAAAATCAATGTGCTCATCCAAAATTTCCAGGTGGGGGGAAAAAAACAACGTGTCCAGAACAACCTATTGAGCTGTGAGCTGCAGCTGGAGGTGCTGCTGGGGGCTGACATCATTCCCAGCAGCATCACAGAGGTTTCCTGGGCGACTGCATGGTGGTGGCTCCTTCCTCCCACGCCCACCCCGGAGAGCCATGGCAGCCCCCGAGGAGAACAGTCTCTTCCCTCCCCACCCCTACCACATCCCTGGGTAAGTTCTGGAGTTCATCCAGAGTGTCTGTTCATTTCCAATGCAAAGAGCTCTGGTTGGGATCACGTAGTAGTTGTGATTCATCCTGTTTGGGGTTTTTTTAAAGACACTGTTAAGTATTCTGGGTAACCGTGCTCTGAAGGAGATGAGGCTCCAGGACAAGAAGCACCACCTTGAAACAGGGTCTAATTAAAGACCATGCCATAGCACACTGAGGGTAAATCAAAATTGTTCATTCTTTCCCCTTTTTTTCTCTTATTCAAGCTGCCAAATGTTACCAGGGCTGCTGTGCAGGGTTTGGCTTCCAAACCATCATAACTTCTGCATCAAGGATGTCTGAAGATGTCCTTTGAATAACTATTTGCATAGATGTGATACCCTTTTGTCAGATTATTTGGAGAACAGTCCTGCTGTGGAATCCCAGCTCTTTGGAGAAGTCAGTGACTCTGGATGCTGATCTAGTTGATATGTAGCTAGATTTTTTTTAAAGATTTTTTGCAAGAATTCCCCTCTGAAGTTTAGGGAAGAAGAAACCAAGCTCTCCAGGGGTAAGAAGTAATGAGTTATGGATTAAAAGGCAAGACATAAATGGCTGAAATAAGCAGACAGGCTTCATGGTGAAGTAGAGAAGTTGTGTGTGAGGTCCTCTGGTGACCTGTGCTGGGAGTTGTGGTCCTTGACACGTGTGAACAGGCTGGGAAGGGCTGGACAGCCATTGAGGGAAAACAACCTTCTGTGGGTATCAGCTCACTTGGATTAGTCCAGCCTGAGGGCATCAAGAGGGGCCCCCCAGGGCAGAGGGGCTGGTGAGGGACCAGGCTCCAACCCTTGGCATGGAGAACACCAACCGTGTCCCAGCGGCTGTGGGTCTGGGCAGGAGGCAGGTCCCAAGCTGCAGACCAAGGGTGGAGTATGTTTCCTTCCTGAACGTGCTCCTGGGGTGGTGACCAGCTCAGTCCTTCCCATCCCAACACTGTGCAGGATTTCCCAGTACTGATCTGTCCCTTCCATGAGCTCTGGGGTCAGGGGATTTTGACAGGTTTCTGCATTGCTGGGGTTGTCTGGATGATGTGATGTGTCACTCGTGTGTGCTGTCACCCTGCCAAAGCTGTCTGCTGGTGGGGGCTTGGGAAGGATGAGGAACAGCAAGGAGGGACCTGTGGCTGGGTGCTTGCACCTCCAAAAAAAGCCTCAAAACCTTCCCTTGTACACTCCTGCCTGCAGACAGCCCCCCCAGCAGCAGCTTCGAGCCCTGGTACCCACACAGCAGCTCTGGGCTTGTGCTTCAGCCACTGAAGACGGGAGGAGGAGCCAAATTCTGCTCCTGTGTGTGGCAGTGCTGTGCGGGCTTGTAGCATCACCCCCAGGCCCAGAGGAAGCCTCTGTGGGTGGTGAGGGTGCTGCTTTGCATCTGGCTTGAGTGGCTGAGCCCTTCTGGTGGCTCCTCATGCCTAGTTTGGAGCCCTGGCTCTGCTGCTGGCACCCTGTGCTGGTGGGAGGAGGGTGGTGATGTCATGTCACAGCATCTCCCCAGCTGGCCCATGCCATGCCTGGCCCTGCTGGTCAACCCCCAACCAGGACGAGGCCATCAGAGCCTCTTGCTGTCACTCAGCTTGGCCAGTGGTCATGGCCAGGGCGTTGCAAGTGCCACCATGGTGCTCAGGAGCCTTGGGAAGCCAAACCCAACGTGGGATGGTTCAGGAAGGACTCTGTGCACAGGGCAAACCCATGGCTCCTGGGCATGGCCCTGCCTGCCCCGTCCTGGCTTGGTGGAGCTGGGAAGGGCACAGAGCAGAGTGAGTCTGGGGAGGGCTGGAGGGAGGGATGGGGCTGGGAAGAGACAAGTGAAACGGGGCTGAGCCCTGGGGAGCCAGCTGGTCACAGTGTGAACCCCTGAAACTGGGGATCCCTCGGGTTTCTGAACCAAAACACCACGCAGGAGAAGGACAAACAGCCCTGTTGAGACCCAGCTCCTCCCCAGGCATCACAGCTTTTCTCAGCAGCCCTTGGAATTCCCTCTGCAGCAGCTCCTTCCCTAAGCCCTGGCTGACTTGCCTGGACTCCTCAGGATTGCTTCGCTTTTAATTGCTTAGGAATTGAATCCTTTCTCAGCCCTGCTATTATTTTGTGCATGATCAAAATCCCTCCAGCCACCCTGTAATTATTCAGGCTCTGTCATTTGTGCTCTTGCTCAGCTTTATCATCCCCGTGGAGCTTCCCTGTGTTGCAAGACTCATTGGAAATCAATGGGGATGAGCCACTGAGCTCCTCCAGCAGCTGCCTGTGTGTGGGGTGGGAAACCTGCCGAGTGTCAGAGCACAGCTCTGCGTGGTGCTGGGTGAGGTGCTGGGAAGGGAAAGTGCTGGCTCATCACCTTATGGTCCTCCTGCATCACCTGGCTTTGTCCCCAGCTACGTAGTGGGCTCGCTGATGGAATGTTTGTCTGGCTGCTGCAGCTGGCAGCTCTGCCTGCCTTTGGTGGTGGAATAACATCACTGTTAGGAAATCTGATACTAGGAACAGCAACAATTGTGCTGGTGGATGAGGGAGTGGAGCCAGAGCCCCATCACCTGCCCTACCCTGAGCCACCAAGATGTCAACCTGCTGGTCCCAGGTCCTGGGGAGTGATGCAGCAGCACGTTGCTACACACCCTGCTCAAGGGGCCTGACAAAATCGAGTGAAGTTTGTTCAGTGGGGCTGAGCAGCCACCTCCCTGCCCCTCTGCCACACAGTGCAGTGCCTGGGTGGCTCCGGAGCAGGGGGGTTTGGTGGGTACAGGCACACAGTTCTCCTGAGTTTTGAGATTTAATGTGAAGCAGGGACACTGGGAAATTCCCAGTAGCTCAGGGTGGTTTAGAACAAAGTGAGGGATTGCAAAACTGAAAGCTGAGGTGTGTTCAACTGGAAAGAATATTTTAAGTTGGGGGGCTGTTGATGTTGGTGATCGAGCCCACACTGCTCCTGGAAGTTCTCCCACCCCCAGGTCCTGCTTCAGCCTGACCTCATCCCATGTTCCCCCACGACCCAGCGCCCCAGCCCGTGCCTGTACACAGCAGGACAGCTGTGAGCTGGTTCTCATGCTGACATGTGAGAACGTGTGTGCAGGCAGACACACCCGCCCGGCCCCACACACACCTTCTGCTGCTCCAGAAGCACAAACTCACCCAACCTCCTCAGGCCCTCCCTGGCTCACGTTCCCCAAGCTCCTGGCCGGGGCCTTCCCAGTGTATGAAGCTCTGAAGCAGGTTGTCCTCCCAGTGGACACCTTCTGATGTCACCTGGGTGACTGCTCTTCTCTTTGGTTTCCTCCCCAGCTATGAGGGTTTCATCCCTCAGTACAGGTACCGCTTTGGGGAGACTTTTGGGAGAACCACACACCGGCTGCTGACGGATCCTGCTGTTAGGAGGAGCCCTCGCCCCTTGCTGGCACCCCTGCACAAGCAGAAGTTCACTGAGGACTTCAGTGAGACGAAGCATGGGCTCCAGGGGTACCTCCCTGGGCGTCCAGGTGAGCAGACCCTGGGTCTCGTCCCTTTGCCAGAAGGGGCTCTGCTAAGGAGCACAGGGTCAGTCATGAGCCACAGGGCTGTGCCCATCCTCAAAAGGCTCCTGGGGTGAAATGGGGTGTTGGCCATGGAGGGATTGTAGCTCTGGTGTAGGGGCAGAGAGACCTGGAGCAGCACCCACTGCACTCAGAGCACTTGGCTGATGGGCATGGGGCTTCTCCCATGGGCGTCTGGGGGAGTGGAGAGGGGAGTTTTACTTCCCAGATTGTCTTCAGTTAGATGAAGATAAATGATTTTATAGTGTATTACAAACTCACTCCCCAGTTCTTCCATGTTCCTGTTGTGCTGTGTCCCCTCCCAGCTCCTTGTGCCCCCCAGGCTGCTCACTGGTGGGGTGGGGTGAGGAGCACGAGAGGCCTGGACTCAGTGTAAGACCAGGACATCCCTCAACTGTCACTGCTCTTCAGCACAAACCCCAGACACAGCCCCAGACGAGCTACTGCAAGGAAAATGAGCTCTGTCCAGGCAGACCCAGCACTATTCCCAAGGCTGGAACCCCTCTCTCCAGGGAAGGTTGGCTCTGCCACCTCCCACCCTTTCCCACTGACCACCTGGAGCAGAGCTCGCCCTGCTCAGAGCTCTTCCTCACAGCCTGTGGTTCATTTGGCATCTTGCTGCTCCTGCCTCAGCTCAGCAGCAGGGCTCCTGTGCCCTTCTGACCCTCCCTGCTTCTGCTGACTGTCCCCATGTCCTCCACCAGACACTGTGATGTGCCCGTGTGGGTTCCCAGCACTGGGAACTTGCAGGAGTCTCCTCCTGAGCCCCAGCCCTTCTGGGCACAGTGCCTGGTCCCTGTTGAGCAGACCCAAATCTGGCCACAGCAGCAGCAGATCCAGCCAACAGGGATCACGTTGGGGACATCTCCTCTGGACACTCCTGTGCCATGTCACACGTCTAAGCTGTGGCTCTTGCTGCCTGCTGGGTGGGAGTGAGTCCTCTCCCAGCTGAACACAGGGGTAGGTGCTGGGGTGGGGTCTGGTCTTCATTTCCCTGGGGATGGCCACAGCAAAGTGGTGGTTCCCCATTTCTCACTGGCAATTTGTGCCACGTAGCTTCTTGCAGACTTCTGGCCTCTCTGTTCCTCCTGGCCCTGTTTTCCAGGATCCAGGTCACCACTAGGCAGGTGATGTTTACAGCCTCTGTTCCTGGACATTTACATTTGCATTTCTTTGGACTAAGATGTTTGGATGGACCCAACGAACCAGTTGGCCTGGTTGTTCTCTGTCATTATCCTGGCCTCATTCTCATTCACTCCCTGCCAACCTTTATGCCACTTGCCCATGTCTGCAGCTGACAGTTCACGTTTGTTGCTGGTTGAAGTGCTGCAGAACGTGGCCACAGGGAGCACCTGGCTGTGCTGGGAGCCCTGCAAGGACAGCTCCTGCTCTTGCTGAGCGACTCCTTGAAGGCTTCACTGCAGGCTCCACTGGTGCTGCCTGGTGTCCTTCTGGGTGTTTCCCATGCTGGAGGTCAAAGAGCTCACGGCAGCGTTGGGTCTCTGAGGTTGCTCAGTCTGAAGGCTTTGTCTTGAGGTCTGTGTCTGATAAACCCTTGCTGATGGGCACCAAGTACATTGCTGGTTTCTGCCAGTTGAATCCCAAGTTATCTTGCTAGAAGTAAGTTATCTTGCTCTTGTGAGACCCCACTTCAAATACTGAGTTCAGTCCTGGTGTCCCCACCATCAAAGGGACAGAGATCTGTTGGAACGAGTCCAAAGGAGGCCACAAAGGTGATCCAGGGGCTGGAGCATCTCTGCTGTGAGGACAGGCTGAGGGCACTGGGGTTGTGCAGGCTGGAAAAGAAAAGACTCTGGGGGGACCTTAGGGGAACCTCCAGGAAGGCTGGAGAGGGACTTGGCACGAGAGTGGGCAGAGACAGGACAAGGGGAGATGGTTTTAAACTGGAGGAGAGGAGGTTTAGAGTAGATCTGAGGAAGAAGTTCTTCAGTGGGAGAGTGGTGAGGTTCTGGACTGGATTGCCAAGAGAGGTTGTGGATGCCCCTCCCTGGAGATGTTCAAGGCCAGGCTGGATGAGGCCTTGAGCAACCTGGTCTAGTTGAGATGTGTCCCTGTGCATGGCTGGAGGTTGGATGAGATGATCCCTGGGGTCCCTTCCAACCACAGCCAGTCTGTGATTCTAAGTGAGGTCAGGCTTTGCTAGCTGGGAGATCAGCCAGGGTTATGCTGGACCTCCAGCAGTGGCCGTGTTGGCATTGAGTGGGTTATGGCACAGGCCAAGCGTGCAGGCACCTGCTCCTGGGGCACCTGGGCTGCAGACACGTGGATATCCACCCAGGGGCTCTCCTGGCTGCCAATTCAGTGCCTTACTCTGCAACCTCCCACAACCAATACGCCTGCAAAACCCAGGGTCACCAAAAAGAGCCCCTGTGGCTTCCTCAAGTACAAACCAGCTTCGTTTTGCCTTTTAATTTGGTTTGTGGGTTAAAAGAAAAAGAGCAGGTGCAATATTTTCATTAACAATTAAGGAAATACTAAGAAAAGGCTGCTTGAAAATTGGCACGCTGGGTTGAAAAATTACTTTCCCCAAGGATTTGCCCTTATTTTGTTGTTAGCCTGGCCAAGGCTCGATCATTCAGCTACCTACAGGATATCTACTTTAGAGTTACACACAGCAGCTATACTTTATAATACAATTACAAGCAGATTACAGACTTTAAGTGCCCATCAGAAGTCTAAAACTTGCAGAAAGGGGTAAATTCTGCTGCTTGAGCCAGGACAGGTTGTGATTCCCCAGGACCCTGCAGATGCCTTCACTGGAGGATGGGGTCTCCATGGGGCTTTGCCTTGCAACACGGGTGTCCAGGGAGCACGGGGAGTTTGGGGGAAGGCAGTGATGGACTGAGAAAAAATGACCTAGGAGAGCAAAAATGGAAGGAATTTGGTTTGTTTAAAAAAAGCCATGACTGATGGAGTTATTGGTTTTCCAGCACGGGAAGGGTTGTTGTGGGGTGTAGGAGCCATCATCCTCCAGAGCCACCGAGGAGGAGGAGGAGGAGGAGGAGGAGGAGGAGTGGGCTTTGCTCCTGGCACTGAGCAGGAGGCAGCCCCAGGGCTGGAGGAGCCGTGCAGGGCACGTCACGGGGCAGTTTTAAGGGAAAGTCAGACAGAAGCTGTCAAGCTCAGCTGTCCCTGTGGAGTCCTGAGCTGCAGGGCTTGTTCCTCACTCACAGTGGAGATCTTTAGCCTGTGCTGGATGGGAGATAATTTGTTTTCCAGCCTGCATCACAGCAGATCCTCCCCTCGATGAGCTGCAGTGATGTCAGTGCATGAACTCCTCAGAGGGGCTGTGTTGGGGTGTCCTGATGCAGCCATATAGAGAAAAGGATGTTTGGGGTTTTTTTTCCCTTCATCTTTATAGCTTGGCTGGTGATATTTTACAGTTTAGGGGTCACTTAGGATAAACTTGAAGTTACTAAACTTCTCTTTGTGCAGGTTTTCTGAGCAGGCTGGTTTACTGGGTGGGGCTGATGGTACCTGCAGGATGCACTCACAGCCCATGGGATGCTGTTGACCTCCAGGTTCCTGCCCTTTGCCCCAGAGGGGCACATGGGGACCAAAGTCCAGCGTGATGGGAATCCCTCGTCCTCCTCCAGCCACTCCTTTCTCTTAACCCAGTGTTTATCCCCCAGGGTACTTTCCATATGGGAAATCTGGGGCTGCAACAAGCTTCCCTGAACGAGTCCTTGGGCCAAAATCTCCCCTGCTGGAGCCAAGGCCTGCAGAGGATGAGCTGGTGGTGACACACATGGACCCCGTGCCCGAGCACCACCCCGGCCAGTACGCCCCGAGGGCACCAGTGCCTCAGGGGTACCCGGGGAGGGTCTCATCCGAGGGGCAGGACTGGAGACTGCCCGAGCTGCCCCCGGCTTGTGGACAGGAGCAAAGCTGTGGAGCTGGGCAGCTTGGTGGGGCCTTGGCCAGGAGCAAACTGGTGAGTGGAAAAGATGCGTGGTAAGAGATGCTGCTGGGGAGGGATGGGGCCTGGGGACTGGTGGGCATGGAAGGGTCACCTTGGCCCAGGGGGTTGAAGAGGGAATTTCATGTGGGCGTGGATGGCAAAGACAGAAAGCTTAGAGAGTTGTGTAGAGAAATAGCAACTATGGTAATGTTTCTAGCAGTAGCAAATCCACCACATCTTCAGGAAATTGTAATCATTAACTGCTCCTCCTGACCCAAAAGGCTGAACCTCTTCCTTGGCTGAGTTTTAGCTTCAAATCCCAGTCGTTGCATTGCACTGTGCTGTGCAGCCCAGCTCCTCTTTCTTTCAGGTGAACTGGGAGCCCTGGCACTGCCTCCTCCTCCCAAAAAGAGAGTGCTTTAGGGACCTCTGCTTCCCTGCTGGGCTCCTGACCCTTCAACTGCCTCCACCTGAACTTGCCCCCATCATTACCCCTTGAAACACAGGCACTGGGGTTTGCCCACGGAGCTGGGTGCTGCTTTGCTGGGCTCCACTGGTGCCCCCAGGGCTGATGTGTTTGAGCCTCTGGGTCCTTCTGGAGCCAGGGACAGCGTTTGTCACATCAGGGCCAGCCAGGGCTCTGCAAATCCCCTGAAGGCAGAGATTAGAGATCTGACGCATCAGTCAAAAGCCGGCTTGGGTATAATTGCTCCTTGCTCCCAGAAACAGATTTGTGAAGGAGCTCAGCACCCAAAGCTCCCCTCGTTCTCCCCAGGGGGGGTTTGCAAACCCTCCGTGGACAGGGAGCTCATCTGGTCATTAACCTTACCATGAGTCCTTGGAGTGGCTCCTGGTGCAGGGTCAGGGAATGAGGGGAATGGCAGCTGCCATCCACGGCTTCTCCCAGGGGGTTAAGCTGTGGAGCCAAAGGAGGAAATGGGTTTTCCTGACGTTCACTTTTTCTCCTTTTATTTTGAGCCCATAAAAATGGACGATGAGACTCTGCCAGAAGTGGCTGCAACTGCAGACGTGAAGCAAGATAATTGGTTACCAAAACTGGATATACCAAAGGTGATCCAAGAGAAAGTCATTCCAGGTAAAAAAAGAGGGAGATCATGCACAGAGTGAGTCCACCCAGAAGGAATCATGTCACCCCTCTCCTCCTGGGGAAACCCCAGAGACACTGGCCAGTCGCTCCAGCTCATCTGAACGCTTTGGGGTGGAAAATGCCCCTGCTCCTCTCTGTGCAGGGGTGTTTCTTTGGGATGCTGTCACCCCGTGGATCCCTTGCTGAGGGACACGTGCCCGTGGGAAGGTGGGAGGGATGCAGGAGCTGCCTCAGTTCCCCACAGCCGTGGGACCAGGCTAGAAAATTTCCCTCTTTGGAAAGAGGGAGTTCTGGCTGCTTTTGGGTTGTACCTCACTATGTTTTGTGTAGGTTCAGACTTGATATGGTTGCTGTCTTGTATGGGTAGAATTTGTTGGATGGGCAGGGCAAACGAGGAAGTTGGATGCCTGGTTGTTAGCCCCTGGAACTGGGAGAGAACGTGACAGAGCTGTGGGTGGAAAGGAGAGACTGGAAGAAAATGAAATCTTTCTTCCATACCTCCTGGAGACCAACAGTGATCAGTTCAGCCCATTGAGTTTTCCTTGGGAATCACAAAAAAGACTCTTGCAGACAAGTGCTTCATATGTAACAGTTAAGTTTCAAATTTAAATGGATTCATTTTTTCCTTCCTATACTCTGCCAAGGTTTTGTGTTTGCCCCAGCCTCTTCCACTTCCAGACTGGTTTATCCTTATATGATATATATGTTTTCAAGCAGAAAACATTCTTTCTTGCCTTCATCTGAAGGGTATGCTGGATTCATCCCCCACCTCGCCTTGATTTATGGTGTGAACTATGTCCAGAGTGTGAAGGAAGCAATGGCCAGTTTTGACAGACAGCAGGTAGGTTCTATGCAGAGATCTGGTTTCCACAACATCATGTTGGTGTTGACAAAAGTGGTTTCATTTACAGCAGCACTATCAGAACTGGGGTTGTAAGTACAAGCAAAATAAAATGCTATTAGGTAACACACTGAAAAAAATCACGAGCCAATTAAATTCTGTAACTTGTTTCCTTGGGACATTAAGGGAGGATAAATGAGGCTCATAAAAAAGCTTGAGCAAATCTATTGAGGGTTGGGTTGAGGGTGGCTATTAAAAATGTTGCTCTGAGTGCAGAAATACAGGAAGCAACTATCTGCATCTTCTCTGCTGGGGTGGCAGTGCTGGATGGCTTCCTGGGCTGCTTGATGGATAGCAATCCCTTTTAATTGGTTGTGAGGCTTTTTCCTTCACTAACACAATTTGTCTTAAAGGAATCTAGATCTTCTTTCTCTTCCTTTTGGGAAGGGTGCAGAAATACCCCTACTGAAAAACTGTTTCTTCCCCTTGCTGTAAGATCTGCCATAGAATTCCACGTCATCCTCCCTGGGCACAGGAGATCCCTCCTGCAGCAGTGGGTGGTTTGTACTCCAAGGTGCACGTTTCCTCCTGCTGCCAGGGTGGAGGAGGTCCCCGGGATGCAGCCGCCTCCTGGGCCAGCCCTGGTGAGGGCTGATGTGTCACAGCCCATTCAGAGCAGGTTACAGCATTTCCAGCTCTTTCTGCTCCCCGGGATTCTCTGCAGTGCCTTCATCCCAAGCTTACAGGTCTGAGGTAGAGGAAAGCCCCAGGCTGAGGGTCCCCAGCTCAGAGAAACCCGGGGTGGGGGAGCAGCAGGGCTGCCAGTGCTCCTGGGAGCCTCACGCTTTGGCTGAAATCTATTTCCCTGTGCTGGCTTCTTCATCCTTCCCTTCTGCTGTCAATAGGAATGGAAATGGAGCAAACAGCACAAACCCCAGGCGTTACCAAAGCAAAACGTGCTGTTGGCAAAGCCTCTCTGCCCCTGATCGCCTAAGAAACGGCTGCCATGGAGTGAATCTGCCAGGGAGGTGTTTCTCCATGCAGCAGAACCCTGGCTGGCAGAGCTTTGCTGCAGCATGACAGGCACTGAAGCAATATAAGCATGCAAAAAAAAACAACAAACAAAAAAAACACCAAAAACCCCAAACCAAAAAAAAACCCAACAAAAAATAAGACACCACATTTCTCTCTAAGATGGCTTCTGACTTCAAGCCACTAATCTTCTGCCCTAAATCTCTGTTGCCCTAGGTTACCCACGGGGCTGTGCCATGGATCATTGCTTGCTGTCTGCAGCAGGCACAATAATGCAATCCTCTCGCCTCAGCGCTGCGGAGCTGCAGCAGTCCCTCCAGCACCAGCCACAAAAGGGCTCCCGGCCCCACGCTCTGCTCGGCTCCATGAGGCTGGTCCCTTCCCCACCGAGCAGCTTTAGGGACCCCTGGGGGGTTTGGCCAGTGCAGAGGTGTGTGTGGAGCTGCAGCATCCATCCTGCAGCACAGCCCCTTGTCTGGGGCTGCCTCGGAGGGCAGGGGGGAGTTACACCCTCCCTCCAGCTAACGCTCCCCGAGCCTTCCTCTTCCTCCCAGCCTGGGAATTACTGGGTCATCATCATCGCTGGGACTCATGGCAAAATAAAACCAGCTGGAGGGGTCAACCCAAAAGACAGCACAGAGCAGAGGAGGGCCAGCCCCAGCTCCAGCAGGTCCTGCTGGCTCACAGCAGAGCCAGTGTAGGAGCACGAGGCGGTTGGGACCTGGGGATGATCCCAAAGGTGATGGACACGGGCTGGGGTGTGGAGATCCTGGGCCAGGAGCTGCTCTGTGCAGCTGGGGGCTTCTGCCAGGACCAAACCTGACAGCTCCTACTTGGAAGAAAACAGAACTGGAAAGAGAATTGCTTTACACTGGCTTAAATATTTTCTTTCCTGTAGAGTCAAGGCACGTGACTTTGGTAAAAACAATGTTTTAAAATTAACTGGGCTGCGTTGTTGAGGATTTTGTTTCTGTTTTCCAGTTTTTGCTGAGATACCCATCTTCCAGCTTTGGCAAGAGATTCCCCCCAAACTACTGGCCTAACAACAGGATTTACACCAGTGCTGGACTGATACCTTTCTACGCAGGCTTTGTACCACGTAAGTTTATCAGCTGAGTGAAAATGAAAGTCACTAATACTAATTACTGTCATTAAGTCACACGGTTATTAGCTGTAGTGGCATCGTAGTGAACAATTACTGAAATGTTCCACAGGGGTAGTAGGTTTTTTTCCCCAGCCCCGGGCTGGAGCTGTGCCACCCCCTGCCTGCTGCAGGAGCCCATCCTCACTGCCAGCCTCGACTTGTGCAGAACCTTCCTCTGGTTTCCAGCCACCACCCCCAGCTGAGGCAGAGGCTCAGCAACACCCCACCCACTACACCCGTGTGACCATTTCCTCACCAGGAGAGCCAACGGGCTTCAAGTCAGCTAAAAAGCAAGAGGTGGATGATGTGAAGGGGTTGAGAAAGCAAAAAAAACCCAACCCCACCAAAATACCCCAGTGAAATGGTATCAGCCATCAAGACAGGGGTGGTGGCTGCCCCTGGTCCTGGTCAGTTATTGGTGTTGCCTAAAAGGAGGGGTCTGAAGAAGGAGATTGTGTGTGTGTTGAGGGGCAGCTCTGCCCACACACCTGAAAGCATCGAGGTGCCAGGGTAAAAGTGCAACTACTGCTGTTGTCTTTGGCCACAGCAAAGCCAAGAGCCTACAGCTCAGTAATGTGGAATGGGAAATCATTGAATCACAGAATGGTTCAGGTTGGAAAGGACCTTAAAGGTCTGGTCCAACCCCACGCTGTGGGCAGGGGCATCTTCCACTAGAGCAGGTTGCTCAGAGCCCCATCCGGCGTTGAGGCACCCACAGCTTCTCTGGACAACCTGTGCCAGTGTCTCACCAACCCACCGTGAAGAATTCTTCCTTATGTCTAACCTAAATCTCCCCTTTCAGTTGGAAACCCCTACCCCTTGTCCTCTCTCTACACTCCCCAGCAGTCCCTCCCCAGCTTTCCTGCGGCCCCCTTTAATATTTTGTCACGGAGATAAGCTAGAAAGTACCAAACCCACGGCTTGTACTTAGGGCAGTGCAGAGGAGGAAAATGGAGGAAGACCCAAGATGTGGTAGGAAGGAAAGGTAGGAGTGGGAAAACAGCTGTCCTGGCAGGGCTGGACCACAGCTGGTGCCCAGAGGGGAGAACACAGACTAGGAACGTGGCTCTGGCCAGGCTCCACCAGGGACATGGGTGCACAGCAAAGTTTAAACTGGGTGCTGCTGTTAGTATGTACTCTGCAGGACGTGGGGACTAAAGTGGCTTTTAGTCCCCCCCAAAAGGGGGCTGGGGACAACACTGTCCTGCCCTCGGTAGTGGGCAGAGCAGGGAAAGCACCAGCTTCAGTGTAAAGGAGGAAGAAAAAAACCCACCCTAAAATTGAGGACAAAAATAACTGCTCAGAGTGTTACCTCAGTTTGAAAAGCTGTTGGCATCTCTTCACCTGAAGTCTCCTGTGTAGGTGTGGAACCAGCCCCTGTCTGTGGCCAGCCTGACTCCCCCTGCCCCAGCTGCCACCAGTCGGGGCAGTTTTAACTGCTCCAACCAGCTGGACTCAGGGAGGAGAAAGTTATTTTTAAGACAGAAAAAATTAACCCCAGATGAGTTATAATTAAGACTTTCTTCATCTGGAAAGCAACCTGGTCAGTGCTGTCCAGCTAGCCCGTGATGGGTTTGTCACTGCACAGAACACTGACCATATTGACTGTTTCTACAGAAAAAATTTGCCAGTGCAGGATTTTCATGAGATAGAAAGGTGTCACTTGGTATCAGCTGTTCAGCTCTCTTCAAAAGAGACACTGCAGTCAACACTTGATTGATGCAGTCTTAAAAAAACCTCTACATACTCAATTTTTTTTTAAATGTAACATTTTTGCCCCCAGCAAGGCTGTAGGTAGGGGAGTGTCCCTTGTCCTAGCTGTCCCCAGCACTCCCGTGCCAGGCCACTGCTCTCTGCTGGGCTTATACCCCTGTGTGGGCGAGCCCAGCCCCCTGCTGCCAGGATGGCAACCTGCCCACACCTGCTGGTTGCCCAGGCAGCCAGGTTAAGCTGTGGGTGACAGACACCTACTTCTGAACCACTGCTCAGCTCCTGCCTGGAGAGCAGCCTGTAACAGGAGTCCACTGGCAGGGACCTAAATTTAGACACAGCCCAGAGCTGGATTTTACCCTCCCTGGGAGGTTCCCTGCCCCAGCACCTGCGATTACACAGAGGATCTCCTCAATCCCCACCCCACCAGCAGCAAGCAGGGCACCCACGGCAGCCGGGGAGAGGAGCAGCAGGAGCTACCTTGTCAGGAGGCAGGAGAAGCGGGGCTGCCTTGGGCCAGGCTGCCACCAAGTCCAGTCTTCTTCTTTTGCAGACAACCGCGACAACTACGCGCTCACCTTCGGGAACAGCACCCGCAGAGCTTACCAAAAGGAACAAAAGAGACGAGCTTTTGCACTGTGAAAAATGCTTTAATGGTGCCTGTACAGCATCTGAAGTGACTTTGAAACAGGAAGAAGAACACAACACAAGACAGGGAAGGTTTGAATGAAGGAGTTCATACAGCTTTAAACAAAATTTACAGGTGTTCAATCTGCATAGCTCTTACTCTGCCTCCTCCTCAGCCTCCTCCTCAAACTCCCCCTCCTCCTCGGCTGTAGCATCCTGGTACTGCTGATACTCAGACACCAGGTCGTTCATGTTGCTCTCAGCCTCTGTGAACTCCATCTCGTCCATGCCCTCGCCCGTGTACCAGTGCAGGAAAGCCTTTCGGCGGAACATGGCCGTGAACTGCTCAGAAATGCGTTTGAACAGCTCCTGGATGGCCGTGCTGTTCCCGATGAAGGTGGCCGACATTTTGAGGCCGCGAGGTGGAATGTCACAGACAGCCGTTTTAACGTTATTAGGGATCCACTCAACGAAATAGCTGCTGTTTTTGTTCTGCACGTTAAGCATTTGCTCGTCCACCTCCTTCATCGACATACGGCCCCTGAAAACGGCGGCCACCGTCAGGTAGCGGCCGTGGCGGGGGTCGCAGGCGGCCATCATGTTCTTGGCATCGAACATCTGCTGGGTGAGCTCGGGCACGGTGAGCGCGCGGTACTGCTGGCTGCCGCGGCTCGTCAGCGGGGCGAAGCCCGGCATGAAAAAGTGCAGGCGGGGAAAGGGCACCATGCGGAGGTGGGCGGGGACCTGCCCCGGGAACCGCAGGCAGGTGGTGACCCCGCTCATGGTGGCCGACACTAAGTGGTTCAGATCCCCGTAGGTGGGGGTGGTTAACTTCAGCGTTCGGAAGCATATGTCGTAGAGGGCTTCGTTATCGATGCAGTAAGTTTCATCCGTGTTCTCCACGAGCTGGTGCACCGACAGGGTGGCATTGTAGGGCTCTACGACAGTGTCTGACACTTTAGGGGAAGGGACAACGCTAAAAGTATTCATAATTCGGTCTGGGTACTCTTCACGGATTTTGCTGATGAGGAGGGTACCCATGCCAGAGCCTGTGCCACCCCCGAGAGAGTGAGTGAGCTGAAAGCCCTGGAGACAATCACAGCTTTCTGCCTCCTTTCTTACAACATCTAACACAGAATCAACTAATTCAGCACCTTCCGTATAATGGCCCTTTGCCCAGTTGTTTCCTGCTCCGCTCTGACCTGGAAGAGAGCCATTTTCGTATTAGATTACGGTCACTGCTTCCTGCTTATTGCTTGCGAGTGAAGCTTAAGAGCATCAGGCTACGGAGACACCCCACAAAAAGCTTTTTTTCATTATACGGAGCCCAGAGCTGTGGTTTCCCACAGGCGCCTCCAGAACGGCTCGACAGACCCAGGGACAGCGTTCGCTACCGATGACACAGCAGCCATTTGGTCTCTCCCGCTAGCACGGAGGAGGCAACGAGGAGGAGAACGGGCAGA